AAGCCGACGCAGCCGTGACCCGACGCCACGCCCTAACTGTAATGTAAGACGGCGAACTAGCGACCTCGAAGTTCTTATTGACGGCCACAGTGTGACCGCTCTCGTCGATACTGGAACCGACTATTCTGTCATCAGTGGGTCGTTCGCCGCGAAGTTAGAGAAAGTTAGGACAGCTTGGAAAGGCCCTGAAATCCGCACAGCCGGAGGTCATCTCGTAACGCCTGCAGGAATCTGCACAGCGAGAGTCACCATTAACGGCCGTATTTATCCTATAGACTTCGTAGTCCTACAGCATTGCTCGAGAGATGTTATCCTTGGCATGGACTTCTTATGCCTCCATGGTGCTGTCATCAACCTAAAAACAAAGTCGATAACGTTATCCACAGAAGAAGCACTACCGCCGCGCACGCCGTCAGGACACCATGCCTTGAATGTGCTGGAAGAACAAGTCACCATTCTGCCTCGCTCAAGCGTCATTATTTCAGTCGGCACTCCTAAATCACCTGCCTTGGAAGGCGTCGTTGAAGACAGTCAGCATCTGTTGGTCACCCAAAATATTTGCATCGCAAGGGGAATTGCAGAGCTGCGGGGAGGCAAAGCAACAGTTATGCTCACGAATTTAAGTAATGAGTACAAACGTGAACAAAGGAACGACGGTCGCATACATCGAAAAACTTGTCGAAGCCACCAGTTCCTTCACCCTTGCCGATTCTGCGGAGCCTGCTCAGAAGAACCAAGCCCCTCCCATAGCTTTTGACGTCAACCCCAGACTTCCAAACGATAAGCAAGAACAGCTCAATGCCCTGCTCCTGCAATACGAAGATTGCTTTTCGTCGTCATCGAAAATTCGGCAGACCCTAATCACGAAACATCGCATCATAACCGAAGAAAATACCAGACCACTCCGTCAGAGTCCGTACAGGGTTTGGACGCGAGAAGGTGAGGCCATGAAGATACAAGTTGAAGAAATGCTGCGGGATGTCATTATCCAGCCGTCCAAGAGTCCATGGGCATCCCCCGTGGTTTTAGTGAAGAAAAACGATGGGACCCTACGTTTATGCGCCGAATAACGCCGCCTGAACAAAATCACAAAAAAGGACGTGTATCCTCTCCCACGAGTAGACGACGCACTTGATCAGCTCCATAACGCCAAGTACTTTTCGTCAATGGACCTTAAGACTGGCTATTGGCAAATCGAAGTCGACGAAAGAGACCGAGAGAAGACGGCGTTTATAACACCGGACGGCCTCTTCGAGTTTAAGGTGATGCCTTTCGGCCTTTGCTCAGCGCCTGCAACTTTTCAAAGCGTTATGGATACAGTACTGGCAGGATTGAAGTGGCAGACTTGCCTTGTGTACTTGGACGACGTCGTCGTGTTCTCCTCGAGTTTCGACGAGCATCTTCGGCGCCTTGAAGCTGTACTTCAAGCCATCAAGACGTCCGGACTCACACTGAAGCCAGAAAAGTGCAGATTTGCGTATGAGGAGCTCTTGTTTCTGGGGCACGTTATCAGCAAGTCTGGAGTTCGTCGCGATCCACGGAAAACAGCCGCCATTGCCGACTTCCCGCCGCCCACTGACAAGAAAGCCGTGCGCCGATTTCTGGGCCTGTGCGCCTATTATAGGCGGTTCGTGGAAAACTTCGCCCGCATCGCCGATCCTCTCACTAACCTTACCAAGGCCGACGTGGAGTTCAAGTCGGAAACGCTACAGGAACACGCTTTTCAGGAGCTTAAACATCGCCTCCAGACGCCTTCGTTACTTGCCCATTTCCACGAATTCGCCGAGACAGAAATACATACTGACGCAAGCAGCGTAGGTCTTGGCGCCATTCTTGTGCAGAGGGCTGACGGACTTGAAAGGGTTATTAGTTACGCCAGCCGATCGTATTTCCTAAGCAGAAGCAAATTATTCCACAACAGAAAAAGAGTGCCTCGCCATCATCTGGGCTACGTCGAAATTTCGCCCCAACCTCTACGGCAGGCCCTTCAAAGTTGTGAGCGACCACCGCGCCTTGTGTTGGCTAGCCACCTTGAAGGACCCTTCAGGTCGCCTCGCACGACGAAGCCTGAAACTTCAAGAATATGACATTACTGTCATTTACAAGTCCGGAAAAAACACTCCGACGCCGACTGTCTCTCTCGTGCGCCTGTCGACCAACCGCTACCCGACGACCCGGATGACGACTCCTTCTTGGGAACGATAACTACAGACGACTTCGCTGAACGACAGTGGGCCGACCCGGAACTTAAGGCCCTAACAGAATACCTCGAAGGCAGGACCGCCGAAGTCCCGAAGGTATTCAAGCACGCACTTGCGTCGTTCTTCCTACGAAATGGTCTTCTACAAAAGAAAAACTTTTCACCGCTACGAGCTAAGTACCTCCTTGTGGTGCCTTCAGCTCTGCGACCAGAGCTCCTGCAGGCCCTGCACGACGATCCGACGGCAGGGCACCTCGGTGTTTCTCGCGCGCTCGCGAGGATACAAGAAAGGTACCACTGGCCACGTCTTACCACCGACGTCACTCATTATGTGAGGACATGCCGGGACTGTCAGTGACGCAAGGCACCGCCGACAAGGCCAGCGAGACTTCTGCAGCCAATTGATTAACCTTGCCGACCTTTCCAGCAGATTGGTATGGACCTACTAGGGTCGTTCCCGACGTCGACTTTCGGAAACAAGTGGATCGTGGTAGCTACCGACTAGCTCACCCACTACGCCGAGACAAAAGCCCTGCCAAAAGGCAGTGCATCCTAGGTAGCTAAGTTCTTCGTCGAAAATATCGTCCTACGTCACGGCGCCCCGGAGGTCCTTATCGCCGACAGAGGAACGGCATTCACTGCCGACTTAACTTAAGCGATCTTGGCATACATCCAAACAAACCACCGCCGGACGACAGCGTACCACCCACAGACCAACGGCCTCACCGAGCGGCTTAACAAGAAGATCGCTGACATGCTGTCAATGTACGTCGATGTCGAACACAAGACGTGGGACGCCATTCTTCCGTATGTGACCTTCGCATACAAAACGGCGGTGCAGAAGACGACACAGATATCTCCATACAAATTGGTCTACGGAAGGAGCCCGGCAACGACGCTCGACGCCATGTTACCCAACGTCACCGACGAAGAAAACCTCGATGTGAGCGAGTACCTTCAACGCGCCGAAAAAGCCCGACAACTTGCGCGTCTCCGTATCAAGAATCAACAGACGACCAACAGCCACCTATACAACCTTGGACGACGCTTCGTGGAATACCAGTCCGGTGAACGTGTTTGGGTGTGGACGCCGATACGCCGACGTGGACTAAGTGAAAAGCTTCTGCGACGGTACTTCGGACCGTACAGGGTGGTTCGACGTCTCGGCCCACTTGATTACGAGGTTGTCCCCGACGGCATCACGAACTCTCAACGACGCCGATCACGACCTGAAGTCGTCCATGTCGCGCGCCTCAAACCGTTTCATGCGCGTTAACAAACTGAAATAGTGTTTTTTTTTTATTATTGTTGTATTGTAATTTATTCATTGTACTTTCTTGCATTATTATTGTACCTTCATCTTTAGTTAAAGCATCGGGACGATGCCTTTTTTTCAGAAGGGGGCAATGCCACGTTCCATTTCTTAAGTTTTTGTTATCGTCCCAAAACACCACACGTTTCTCAGCGCAAACCGCGCCTGCAGTTTTCGAGAAGGTTCCAGACTGTAGTAGATCATTTTGATAAGATCACGCCCACTGTGCGAGCAGTACACATTGTTCTGGAACCTACACCACCACCAGCGATAACGCTAGAACATTCGACGGCAAGAGTATAAATGCCGACGCTCTTCGCCGCTTGTCAGTTGTTGATCGAAGGCCGACGCTCCGTTCGCCGCTATCAGTCCGAGACTGCTATCTGCGCGAGACTGCTGCTGTACTTGGAATTTCCGTTTACCGGACACAGGTTCGCCCAAATAAACAGTTAAATCGCAACACGAAGTCTCCTGTCTTCGGCCACGTCACGACCCCGTGACAATATTATGCGTAATGGTCCCCGTGATTGTTGAAAGGGAAATACTTCATACGTAGTGAAATGCGTCGTCAAAGTAAGATTTATAAGAAATAAACATTGGCGAAATACTGTGAAGGTGGCACCATAATCGGCACAAGTGAAACAACAGGAAAATAAGTTATCTTTATCAGGAACGCCTTCCACCACGTGCAACCAGGCACACAACAATTTAGTGGTCGCACCCTGATAGAGTGCAGAATCAGGGGACGCTGGTCTAGACTAAGCCTGGGTTTTAGCAGCGCGAAAAATGCACGAAAGACAAGAAAGGGACGAGACAAGCACTGAGGCTGCTCAAATGGAGCTTGAAAGCAGCGCATGTGTAAGCAAGCCTTCAGTTGCCCTATCAGATAAAGAGATATGTTTCTTGAGGTGCGAGGGTAGGCGCAGCAGGCATGGCGTTAGTTGATAATTTGTATCTTAAAATACGTCATTTTTTTCACTCTTTGTGCTCCATTGCATATTAACGGTCTTCCCGTCAATAAAATTTTAGTTGGAAGTCAGTGCTTGTCTCGTCCCTTTCTTGTCTTTCGTGCATTTTTCGCGCTGCTAAAACCCAAGTATGCCATACCAACTAGCCCAGTCAACCGCTCTATCTAGACTAAGCACAACGCAGAATCATTGTAAGTTCATTGTTACATCCATTTTTAACTCTATGTGCTTAGCGGCAGCAAGGTCCAATAGCTCCGCTACGTCAAGTTACGCTGCATATACCGGGCAGTTATATTTTTTCTCATATTAATTTATTATCTCTGTGTTTTGTCCTATTCATTGTTGGTACGGCTTTTTACCCTGGCCGTTTTCTTCCTTTTTTGTTAACTTCATCTTCGCCGCTTTGATAGCGAACCATCTCGAATGACACAATGCTTCAGAAAATTCTTCACCTTCGCTTTTCTTAAAGTTCCGTATTGACTTCCCATTATAAATTAAACGTTTAGTAGATGTTACGTACCTGAAAAGCATTAACAGTTCCATGGTAGTGTTTCTCATTCTTCCAGAAGGAGCGAGCCGATGCGGAGAACAGGCAAGACCAGGCTACACATACTGCAGGTAGTAACGATGCCATCGAGGAACACATTGCTGTGCGAGATATACGGCAAGACAAAGAGCGGGGAAAAAAGGTGCCCCTTACAATGAAGTAAGCAGTGAACCTCCGTGCTATGGTGTACGTCTATGTTAAGTGGCTAGAACAGCCGCCTTGCTCCTGATGTACACTTCCCCCCTAATACACCCGCTGGCAGTGCGGCTGAGCAGCGAAACATATGCTACGAGCGCCTGTCACACACTAGTCTGTGTTTACAAGGCCACTTTATATTACACTCAGTGTTGTGCAGCTCGGCGCTTTTAACCGTTTTTACGACGGCCGACTAATTGTCGTCAGATTCCTGTATATGATTCTCAATAAGCCATGGCAGCAAGGTTTACGTCATATTGTTACCCCTTGTCACCCGTAGGTTGTTTGATATTCACTGAAATGCTTAAACGAATTTGAAAGTAATTGAGAGTGGGTGGGGGTCTTGATGGACGTTTGCATCTTGTACACGGAAGAGCGCATAATTGAATACTTAAAAATACATATTTAAAAACAAAAAGACTAAACGTGTGGGGAACACTTTTTGTGTTTTGCAGGACACGGACTTTGTCCGAGAGCTTTATGAATGTCTGTTTAAACATTTGGAATAAGTGTATGTGTCTAGTGTTGTGTCGTGGTGAAGGATACGGGAAATTAAAAACGCATGTTACTTAGTGCAAACATACAAGGCTTGGCATCATGATCAAGCGGCTATATATTGGTAGCATATTTTACGAACACATACCTATGAAACATGAACACGTGCAAATATTAAACAATAACATATGATATTCTCGAATTTCATGGGGTGTTCTATATCACATCTTTAAAAAATGTAACCACTGTAGCCGCGAAAACAGACAAACCTCCTGATCACTCGGCTGGTTGTGCTGTTCTGCTCTGTGCCGAGCAAGACCACGTCGAACAACCTAGTTCAGCCTCTTTGATTTCGTTTAGCACAGTCTGCTTCACTGCTTTGGTGCTATTCATGAAAAACACAAGAAAACACTGCTTATCAGTTCTGTGGAAGCTATCTTTGCCGAAAGTGAAGCACGGCCACAAGAAAGTTGTGTTTACTGCGTTTGTATACACTGGTTTTACATGTCGAATAGCCCACACGCCACGTGATCTCACCCCTCCTTTTAGTGATGACGAAAAGTCCTTCGTGCATGGCATAAAGTATTAAATGCGAAGTATTTCTTCTTTTATACTGCAGGCAGTTTTACTCTCTACCGACGTATTCATCTATATATCCATCAATCAATCAATCAATCAATCAATCTATCTATCTATCTATCTATAAATCTATCTATCTATCTGTCTACCTATCTAGCCGCCTACGCGTCTGCGTGCTCTCGTGATCACTCCCTTAATTTGGAGTAAACCAAAATTAGTATGGGAGGTCAAAATAGTTTGACAATTGTGACTCGCTGGCCATGACGTGAATAATCGGACGATCCTGTCGCGTACGTCGTCAAACCCAATCCGCTAGACTTATGGCACATACTCGTAGGCGAGTATGTGCCACAGCTGATGGACTCTATATCTACTCAGGAACAGCGTGAACAGAGATTGACAGTTTGCTTGAAATAAGAGTGCAATACGTAGACGCCGGCCGGATAGACAGGAACAAGCCCTTATTACCGACTGAAAGTTTAGTCGGAAAGCTGCGCAATATATACTGACAGATCAAACATTTCGTAAGCACATACGACAGGGCCGAATCGCAAACCCAAATAACAAAACCAATAAAACATCTATATATATATATATATATATATATATATATATATATATATATATATATATATATATATATATATATATATATATATATATATATATATATATATATACATATATCAGCCCCGTTTACCTACGCCCACTTTGCCTCACAGTGACTACTTAAGTGCTATGGTATGTGCGACTATTCAAAAATTCTAGCTCCTTATCAGACAGAGCTATTGAGGGTTCGCTCACGCAAGTCAAGTATTCATGAGCTATGTTTGCAGCTACAATTATATTACTTGTGCGCTCATCTTTCTTTTTATTCACTACAACTGTTTTGTCAAACAGAACTTCATAGTCATATCTAGTGACATGTTTGACCAGAAAACCATCGTTCCTCTGCAAACGTTGCACGCATGTTCACGCAGTCTGTCATTAAGGCATCTTCCAGTTTGTACAATACAACAGGCACCGCCCTAAAGTGGGATCTTGTAAACAAGGTTGCTAATGCAATCAACAAAAGAGGTTCTGTGCTTTGTTTTGCACAGCCGTTCCTTGTGTCTAGCGGCGTATGTCAGCCTAGCTTCTTCCCTGTCCTCTCTTTTCTGATGTTGCGATGTAAGTAAGTTCCCGACGGATTCTAACCAACTGGCCCAACTTACCGTCTTACTGAAAAAGCTTGTGTGGCGCAGAGAAAACTACACAAACTCCCACGCGTTGCGCGACTAGGTATCGTGCTCTTATTTCAAACAATCATGATTCCCCAAGTCGCCTCTCGAAGCATTTTGACAAGACATTGGTAATTTTACCAAGCGTTAAAAAAAGCTAACAATGGCACCTTTGACCCGATCAGGGCCTTCTGCTCTCTAGTGGGCCTTGTCATAAATTACGTGGCAAATGACCTGTCATGATGTGGTACATTCGTCTTTTAATAGCGTGCTAATTTTCTGAACGACCGTCAGATTCGGGAACTGCCCGAGGAAACTTTATGAGTTAAAGTTCCAATATATACCAAGAACGCAGTGCTAAGCACATATGCAGTTGCTTGCCGGTGATTGTCCTAGTCTGCTCCATTTGCATGTTTTTTTTCCTAGTAAGGAATACGTTGAGCCTGTATTGTATGTTTATACCTATCCGCCAAGCGACTTTCTTGGGGAACTACAAGAACTAGATGGGAGCCGACAGATGAAAACAATGTAGTGAGATAATCAGAGTTAACAGTACCAATTTTCAATACTGTTTTGGAAGTACATTCGCATTTCACGACTGTGGTATGTAGCCACCCTGTTTGAGATTTTCTTCCTAGGTACGCTGGTTTCCCATTCAAAAGTACTGTAGAAATTTGATCCCAAAGCTAGCTGTGAAAGAGGGCATCTTAGCGACTTTCCCAAACTTCGACAAGTGGTCTAGTGGTCCCTTGCGACTAGCCTGTACCCGATTTCGTTTTGCTGTAGTTGATAATAGACCAATCTGGTCAACCTTGATCGCATCAAAATCGTGTCGAGGGCATAATAAGTGAGATTAGTCAAGGTCGGCATCTCTGACTATGCTGACGCTGTTGGAACACCTCGCAGCTTGCGATGTGCGATAGAATGATTCTCTTCATCATTCGCCACCAAAAATATTCCCTAGATTTCCCGAAGAGTAGCTCGGTCAGCTATGCGTCCACTTTCCAGGGCATCATGGATGGCGTGAAATATATCAGAGCACACGGTCGATAGAATGAAAAAGAGGTGGCTCTCTTCTTGGTTGCTGAACCAACGGCGTCGATGCTACGACCTTCCACGAAGAAGTCATGTTGGGGTACTCTTCGTGCCTTCTAGAGACGTTGTTATTGATGTCAAATCCTAATGGTGCCGTTGAGATCTTATAATGTCTTGTTGCGAAAAAGCAGTCTGCGGCATGAAGTTGGGTGTTCTCGCATGGCTTTGGTGGCAGTATTGCGTAAATCTGTTTAATTATGTCACTCGTCGATGCTTCATGCCATAGCTGTAGTCTTGCAGTTGAAGGATTCAGCTTGCCAACTTGGCTTCAAGGCATTGCTCGCCGAACGTTCATTTAAAGGAACAGTTGTTCATGACCACAGTGAACCTGCAGACGAATCAGAAGTGCCGGAGATGATCATTTACGCTTCATACCACAACCAGGTACTCCAACTCATTCAGGTGGTAATCAAATTTCGTGTCTGATAACTTGCGGCTAGCAAAAGCAATGGCATGTACGACTCTTGCTGGGTCACGTTGAACGAGAACTGCTCTTAAACCCAGCGGACATGCATCAATGTTAAGTTCAGTGCCCCACTTACCCTGGAAATCACTCAAAAGGTGACAACGTGTTAGCCGCTGCTTGAAATTTTGAGAGATGGCATCTTGTGAAAGAGCCCCCAAAAGTCGACTCTTCCTTCAGCCTATTTGTGAGTGGCGCTGTCATTGATGCGAAGTTGTCTGCAAACTAAGACAGGTACGATGCGAGGCTTAAAAGTACCTGCAGTTGTTTCATGCACTTCGGAGTAGGGAACAAGGCTAACAGCGATGCTCTTTCAGGTGCAGGTTGAACACCGTCTTTAGAAATAGTGCTACCAAGAAAGCGATTGTAGTCTAGAACAATTGGCACCTTTCTATATCAAATCGGTACGTGGAATCAAATAGTCTATGAATCACTTCATTCATGCTTCGGAGATGTTTTTCCTATCTTGCGACCACGACCAACATGGCATCCAAATAAACGACAAAATAATGTCATTTCAATAAATCAAGGGCAATTTTTATGGCGTATGTTTATTTGGCGCTCCTTTCAGCCCAAAAGGCATGCAGGTAAACTCTTGGAGACCGAAAGGCGGTCAGAATGCTGCTCTTTACTACTATTCCTTGATTGATATACGAGGTTTAACGTCCCGAAACCACCATATGATTATGTGAGACGCCGTAGTGGAGGGCTCTGGAAATTTCGACCACATGGGGTTCTTTAACGTGCACCCAAATCTGAGCACACGGGCCTACAACATTTCCACCTCCATAGGAAACCCCTTCTGTTCTTCGGTAACGTTAATTTTACAATATTCCGGATGAAGATCAGGTTATTAAAACTATCTAGACTGTCATGCAGTGTCGAAGGCGTCCTCATTGCCAGGAACTTTTAAATTTATCGTAAATCAACGCAGCTTTCAGGGCAAATTTGTTTATAGTAATCAAAAGATCAAACCAGGAAAAAACCAGAAGAAAAACACGCCCTCACACGTGATACTGCAGCACATGCGTAAAAGCCCATCTTAGTCAAGTCAAAGTTACATAACTATTAGTATACACAGTATGAAACAGTGAAAAACAAAACAATATCCAACTGGAAGCTTTCCAGCTATATACAAATGTGAACTCATTAATTTGGATGAGAACTGAGAATCAGCTCACACATGACGCTTTGCCCTGCTTTTAGATTCCGAAAACCTCGCGAATTCCAAGTGGACTCGTGC